TTGCGAGGTTATTTGGTGAATCTGTTATTGCAGACGAAATTTAAGACATTCGAGAATATCATTTGGAAACTTATTCTAGTAGCTATACATGTCGATCGGTCTACAGATTATGTCACACTTGACTTTATAGCATCGTGCGGGAAAATAAACGGCCTATAAAGAGTATTGTTCTTCTAAATTGAGATCATTGGATGCTTTTCGATACATCAAACAAAAAAATATCCAGAATTTTAAAGAGGAAGTAGATATACTACGATTAAATGCATGAACATAAATTTCTTCAGCTCAGTTGGTATTGTTGGAATTCCAAACATGATTTTGTTTAAAATGTTTTGCTCATCATAACCAAAACGTCGATGATTATGTAATAGATAACCAGTGGCATGCACTGCCACCGGGGGAAGTCATATATTTTGCAAATAAATTGTGAATAAAGTAACCGTGGGGAGAAAGAGAGGGAGGGGCAGGGGAATGTTTGAGAGAGAGAGAGAGAGAGAGAGAGAGAGAGAGAGAGAGAGAGAGAGAGAGACTTATTGTGAGAGTGATACCGTAATAAACAATGCAAACATTGCTTTTGATTTAGTCACACAAAAAAAAGTATTCTCTTCTATTTCTGTCATCTATGCCTCGCGATTTGTCTTCTCTCTCTTCTCTTCCGTTTCGTTCCATTTCACTAGACCCCTCTACATCCTGTTTTCTCTTTCCTTATTTCTTTTCTCCTCCTTCCTAATCCGACTTCCTCTTTCCGCTGCCCTCCCCCCTTCCACGCTCTCTCTCTCTCGCTATCTCTGTCTGCCTGTCTTTCTCTCTCTTATCTGTGATATCAATACAATTACTGGCACATATAAATGTATTATGCACTTTTCAATGTACACATACTATCAAACCTATTGTATTTTATGCTTTTGTGTTTTATAATTTACAGGTTTTTTTTGCTGTTTTTTCGTTTTTTGTAAAAAATATGTAATAATTTTGTTATCCTATTTCCTTAGTTAATAAATGAATAGTTTATAATTTTTTTATCATATGCATGTATTTCTTATCAGCCAAATGTCAATTATGTATCTCATTGTAATCAATTAATGTATAATTCATTTCAGTATGTTGTAAACTATTGTCATATGTATTGTTTAATGCTATTGTATGTGTTAAACTGTTGTATATTTAACTTGCTTTTTATTTATGTGCAATGGACCTTGTGGCAGATTAGCCTTGTGCTAAACAAGTTATCCAATAAAGTCTACTACTACTACTACTACTACTACTACTACTACTACTACTACTACTAACCTTTCAAGTAAAAGTACACGGTAAATGCTAGAAAAAAATCAAAAATCAAAAATCTCTCCAGACTTTTTTTTCATAATTTTTATCATTTTTATTTTACCTGACATTTATTTCAACATCAGCCAATGATTAAATTACTTAACAAATAAAACATGTATACAAATAATGTACATACATACTTTATGTCATGCCGAATGAATATTGAACAGACAAAAGAAGAAAAAAAATGGAGGAGAAAAAAAAAATACAAAAAATGATGGTGACAATGATGTGCTCTTAAAAGAATTAAACACCATCCTTTTCTTAGCCCACTTTATACAATATATTGTCTCAGCATATTGTGAAGAATACAAGCGAAGAAAACTAGTAATCTTCTCTCAAACACGTCCTTATCAGCGCCGCATACTTTCCAGTAGTAAGCTTTTCTAGCCCCTTCCTCTCAAATAACGATAGTAATAATAACACGAAAAATACAAAAATAATGTTCCCTACACAAAATGTGTCTATGGTTCTGTTGAAAAGGATCTCGACAGAACCCAGCATGTTCCTTCATTCAACCATTAAACCTTGCATATCTTCTATTTCACTTAACTTACGTCATCCTTCAACACAGCCCTAACAACAAAAACATTTCTGATGCACTTTCAACTGAAGTCAATGGAGAAGGATCCACTTTGTGATACATCTCAGTAATACTGGTTGTTAAAAAAAAGTACAGGATAGCCCCCCCCCCCCCCCTCCCCCACCAAAAAAAGAACTAGCATACTTCTAAAAATGTGGGGTTAAATTGACTGGTACCAGCAAAAGGGGAATCTTTCCACATGAAAATGATACCAAGATTTACAAATTTGATGAAGGGATTGTTACTTCTACAGAGTATTTTTTTAATTTTTTATTAACGGTAGGAGCTCAATATTGTCCATTATTAGCGAAACTGTGTTGCCGACAATTTGTAAATTTCATGTCTGTGTTTAACAAGTCATGAAAAACGCCTAATAAAAGAAAACAAAATATGTGGAATGTTACATATGTGCCCTATGTGACATTCATTACAACTTGCCCCAAAGTTGAGGCATACCATTTCTGAAATTACACAATGATACATTGTTTTTTTGCAAGGACCACTGCCAGTGGATGTTTCAAACATTGTTCCACCAGAACGCATGTAGAAAACAAAGTACTCCATGAATTTTATCAAATTTGGTATCAGTTTTTCTGCTAAAAAGATTCCCTATCGAGTGGTACCAGTGAAATTTGCCTCACAGTATTGAAAGTATGCTAGTCCTGGGTTTTTACCGACCATCCAGCCATCCTGAGTGGGCGGGGGTGTCTTTAGCTCTTTATTTATTATGAACCAAAGGCCATTGCTTGGAGTTGACAGGATCCATACATATACAGGCTATAAAGTGTGTGACAAAACTTGACTTTGGCAAGTAAAGCATGGGACGGGTTCATGAAATCCCTAACTCAGAGACGATTTTCATATGCCCCATTTCTACCGTCGTATCTTCATGCAGTTCGGAGGTTGATTCAAACACTTTCCCCCGTTTCAGTGTTTCTGTAATTTGTCTACACTCTTGAGGGGTTTTCAGATATGGTGTGGTAAACCGCAGCATATAAGAAGCCAATTTTTTTATTAAACATGTAAAAATGAATGGTAACTGCGCCTAAGAAAGGACTAGCGAGTGTTCACTGATCTCTGTGTTATAAGCTTTAAATATTTGAAGTGTATTACACTTTGAGCCATCATAAATCACCACTGCAGTTTTGTCGCGTCATATCTGAACATGTCGTTTAAGTCCGATTCCATTGAAGGTCATAATGTTTTCTTCCCAGTTGCATATTGGCTTTTCTCTGGAATCAATCCCTATATCCCAGGAGTAAAGAGCTTTGCAATTTCAATCCCACAAACAGTGCGTTCTTAAAATATGAAATCCACATTTCCCAAGCAATATCTTGTCGATAAAATATCACTAGATATATTATGATACATCATTAAAAAGAAGACTTCTTCCTCTTTCATATGATACCACATTTGTGATGATAGAGCTTGGGGCCACTGAACTACACCAACTTAAAAACCACCAATATCATAATTGGTATGTGCACAAGAGTATTCATAAACACACATAATTGCCATTCATTGAACACATTTCAAGGTGGCAAAAAAAATAATGAATAATGAATACAAAACATCATGAAAAATGACCCAACTCTGTTTTAGGTCTTTATCTTTTATCAATTGTCTTGCACTTTCATTAAATGTAATGACATTATCCATTATTTCTGTGTGCTAGCTGCTTTTGACATATGATGACATATCTTATAGCATATGAAAGAAGATGACTTCCTCTTCGACATCAACAATTAAAACTTATGAAGACATAATCATCTTTTAAAAAAGTTATTGATGGGAAAATGCAGGTTTCATTTTCATTTTCAAAGAACACACTGTACATCACAATCAGATGGTTGCTTCAACTCCTCCGGCAACTCTAGAGCCTACATCGACTGCAACTGACGCTATGAATATGACTGACAAAGAAAGCAGACAAAATATACAGTTTCTCAGGTAGACAAAGGAACATCCCTTCACTGCTATTATGTAAAAATGTGCAGAACAGGTGAATATGCATGTGACACATTTTTACATAATAGCAGTGAAGGGATGTTCCTTTGTCTACCTGAGGAACTGTATATTTTGTCCGCTTTCTTTGTCGGTCATTTCATAGTGTGACCGATTCTAGGGGTGATGTCATTCTTAGTTCAGTCTGTTATCGGTCTCATGTCGGTCTCATGTCGGTCTCATTGGTTCGACTCAGGTATTAAAGGCATCATTTAACAATATTAAATCTGAGATGCATGGCCCTACGTGTTATTAGTGCCTGTGATGATCATGAAGTGCCTCAAAAAAGTAAAAGTCTTTGAGTGACTGGTTCAACCATACTCATTCTTCCCAATAGACTGTAGAGTTATTCAAACCATAAGGAAAAAGACAAATGAAATTTTGATATCCAATCATAAATATCTTGATAATCAGACAGGCGATCGGTTTGTAAAAGTCGTGGGATTCCTGACGGACCTTAAGATTTATAATTATGATGGCAACCTAGATTATCATTTACATCTAAAATTGAAATAATTCTGCTTACATTATCTTTCGTTACAAAGGAAGGTGTGACAGGACCATCGAACAAAACATTAAATGACTGAACTTTGTGCACGTGTACATACATGCATTAGGTATAGGTACCGGAGCTTATCTCTCCAAATAATCAATAACATCTCTGGAATAATCAGGGTTTTATCAGATGGAAAATTTAGATTGTGTACATCAGCGAATTCTGTTACTCATTACTGCTTTCATGGAGACATTTTGCAATTATAGCTAACTTTGAGCTCTGGTATTGGAATCGTATTCTGGGAGAAAATTGCGGTGATTTATTCTGGATTGTTTATCCTGCAGTAGATTGGTTGTTTGAACCAGTAAAATGAAAGCGAATGCACAAAAACTTACTGGGCATCATCTTTGATAAAAAAACACAAATCCGATTTGCACAGATTGACCTGGCTGTGTTAAGCACATGGTGTCGGGCCTACTTATCTGGATTTCCTTATATTTCTATGCTCATTACTCGGCCCTATACATTTTTCACCAACATTGTTTGGCACATGTAATTTATTTGTAATCTTGAACATTCAGTGTAAGTTTCGTTGGATTCTGTGAGAATTTATTTTCCATGTTTACCAGATCTCAAGTAAATATGATCATGACGCTTTGTAGCATTTAACACTAGTCTCAGATTCAGCAACAATGACTTTTTGCTCCATGGAGAGCATACCATCTGGTAACCATACTACCCACTCACTTAAGCCACTATGGCCTGAGTATCCAAAGTTGTACCTGTCGATACACATGGGTGGAGAGAAGAAATGTTGATAAAATACCTTGCTTAAGAATATCATAGATGTATACGCAGGGCTTAGCACTTACTGTGGTCTGACTCACATGGGCACCTAAATGTTAACTCAAAGGCATGGTTTAACAATGTTAAATCTGAGATACATGGCCCTACGTGTTATCAGTGTTTGTGATATGGTGTAATACAAAATTTGCGCTTCAAAATGATCAAGAAGTGCCTCAAAAACGTAAAAATCTTTGAATGACTGGTTTACCATACTCGTTTTCTTTAATAAACTGTAGTGTTATGAAAACTGTTAGGCTAACCCAAAATTTGGGTTCGATTTCCAATCACAAATATCTTGATAATCAGACAGGCGATCGGCTTCTAAAAGTCATGGGGTTCCTGACTGACCTATAGGTTTATAATTATCATTGCAGCATGAGCTAAATCAAGGATATTGTTTCAGAATCTGAGACAAAGTTATTAGATCCCTTTAAGACCCCCACAACTTCAAAATTTACAGCAGAGGCCTATTGATAAAGACCCTATGAACATAACTTCAGACGTTTAGTGTGAAGTCCTATACTGAGGCTTGGACCCATGTCCTTCGTATCTCCTGTGTCAAACCCCTCAACCACAATACCTCAAAATGTAAGTGAAGAATGAGAAGGCCATGACAAGAAATAAAGAAGTGATGATTGAGAAACGCCAACCTGAAGACTGAGGAAGAAAACCTGGATTTAGATCCTGTACAACCCGACAGCTGAATCAAAAAACGGAATCATGTACGAAATACTGTTTACAAATATGCAGCAAGCTCTTAAAATCATCAAAGTGAATAAATCTACCCCAATCCTTTCTCACATACCAGTTATACAATATCTGCTGAAAGAGAATGTTGAATTCTGGGTAAGGTGAAAAATTGAACTTTGTACGACTCTTTCTATCCTCATATGGAAAAGATGGTAGCAGTTTCCCCATGAAAAAAGGACTTTGCTTAAAATGCTCTCATATTTCCAATATGGCTAGAAACAGTTTATAATTTCGGACATGACATCCAATGCAAAATTAATGTGCAGTCCCACATGCTCATGTCAGTGTCCAGTTATTTAAAAAAAAAAAAAAATCCAGTAAGATTTGGTTCTTTATCTAAACTTGTTGGTGATTCTAAACCTCATGATACACAATTTCATCCCCCCCCCTCAATTCACAAACAACCAGTCCGAATCTTCAGCCATTTCTAAACAGTTTCTTTCACAATGCAATCCCATGACCAGAACTCAACATTATCATCCCAAGCATTGTGACTTTTGTGTATTCAACTATTCTCCTGTGTCAAGATAGGTTGTGTCTTTCCTAATCCCACTCTCTATATCACAGATTAATGGAGTCTAACTTCAGCATTAGATTTGGTAATCCCCTTGATATTAAATCACAGTGTTCCAAGATTGTCAACACAAACCGCCTCTACCTGAAACTTTTCTCTATCACGACCATTCCCAACCCTATTTCTTTTTTTTACTCTAACACCCTTACAACAGGGCTCATTAAAACAATGAAAAACAAAACAAAACTTAAAAAGGTTCGGGAAGAGATAGAGAGAGAGGCAAGAGAGAGGAAGGGGAGAAAAGAAAATGTAGAAAAGGAAATACTGAGAGAACTATTTCTGGAATGCGGGATTTGTCGAGGTGTTGTGATGAAAGGATGCTGGCAAATGGGGGCGCTCTTCAAGCTTGTCATAGTCGAGATGGAAGTCCTTGGCCATCTTGCACCAGCGGTTATAGTCAAAGTAGTAGTAGACGCCCCTCTCGAACGTACTCGTCTTGACCTGGGGCTCCATGCCGGGTCCTCGGGTGATCCAGACTCGCTCGTCTTTGTGGTACCTCCAATCACGATTGTACCTGAGGAGAAAACACAAATAACATGCAAATGAAAATGACCAATTCTTTGTTTATTTATCGTCATGCTGTACACAGAGCAGTGGTCTCGTAACCTGGAGGTCCTGGGTTTCATGCATGTTTTCAATCCATTAGTTCATGATAGACATACTACAGTGCGAGTCCAAAAAAAGTTTACACCTAGAAAATTGCTAATTATTTAAAAAATAATCTATGAACAGTAAATTATTATACATCTTATGAAAGAGTGTTTTATCCCGAATCATTTGGTATCATTTTTGTGTGGTATGTGTTCACGCTTGGATGAACAGGAGGCATTGTTTGCGAGAGTGCAAAAATCGACTTGCGCCAAAGTGAGGCCTACAGTATGTATTACGTTGGGATTAGCGGAGTGAGAGAATGAATTGAATGTATTAAATGAAATGCATTGCATATGATTTTTGGAGAAGAAAAGTCACACAAACACACACGCGCACAAAATGTTCGTGGATATTTGATATTCGACATTTGATATGTGTGGCATGATTAATTTTGTCAGGGATGTTATTCGGATCTGCAAAGACCGAATTAATACCCAGATCCCAATTGTTTTATTCAAACATCACATAAGCAACTTTGGCGCAATGCCTCCTGTTCATCCAAGCGTGAACACATCCCACACAAAATGATTCTAAATGATTTGAGATAAAACACTCTTTCATAAGATGTATGATAGTTTACTTTTCATAGATGATTTTTAAAATAATTAGCAATTTTCTAGGTGTAAACCTTTTTCTGACTCAGACTGTACATAACCAAAGTGATATAATTTAAGTAATGTAACATTACTTAAATGATATAACTTTGGTTACACAAGCATTGAAAGGGCAATAAAAAGCAGTCCCTTGAATGTTAAATGCTAGACAACAAAGCTTAAAATAGAAATGAAGGTATTTGTTAAAGAAAAAAACAATTAAAGAATCCCTATCCCAAGATAATGTGATAATGAGAGGCTTCTCAGGAAGCTATTCGATAACTGTTTCAATTTTTGTTTAGATTTCGAAGTTAATAATATGTTAGACTACTGAGTACTATCATCCAGTATTCATAGAAGAAAAAATATGAATATAACTATTATACTAAAAAAGAACTACACTGAATGTTAAAAGTTTAGGACTATAATTAATGACAGCTGTCAACAAACAAACAAGATCTATACAAACATACAATAGCCAATTCATGAGAGCAGATATATGTATGGTACATGGGCTCAGAGCTAGAATGGTATTAACTCTGTGTTATGTATATGAATTAACGCCCTTCTAGCTACAAATGCACAGGGCCAAACAGTTGGATTAATAGTCCCATGTATGCATATTTCTGTAATAATGTTGGTGCTTTTTGAAAATTATTTTAGATTATCATTTAGAATATCATTAAAGAATATCATTTTAGAATATCATTTATAACATTTAGAATGTCATTTAGAGTATCATTTAGAATATCATTTAGAATATCATTTAGAATACCATTTTAGAATATCATTTAGAATACCATTTTAGAATATCATTTTAACATTTAGAGTATCATTTAGAATATCGTTTAGAATACCATTTAAGAATATCATTTAGAATATCAATTTAGAATGTCATTTTAGAAATTTCATTTTAGAATATCATTTATAATACCATTTTAGAATATCATTTAGAATATCATTTTAAAATATCATTTAGAATATTAGAATATCATTTAGAATATCATTTAGAATATCATTTAGAATATCATTTAGAATATCATTTAGAATATCATTTAGAATATCATTTAGAATATCATTTAGAATATCATTTAGAATATCATTTAGAATATCATTTTAGAATATCATCAAATTTAAAAACTTGTTTACATCATCTGGTTCCAACAGCAGATTAAATGCATGATAAACAAGGACTATAGCCTTGCTCAGATATAACACGGCGAAACCGTTGCAGTTTTTTCTATGATCTTGTAAAATGTAATACGCTACACATTCCTGTATCTTATAACACATAGCTCAATGGCTGCTTTTTCACAGCGATTTACTGCATCATATCTGAACAAACCTATATAGAATTTTTTTTTAAAAATAGATGTCGACCCCATAAAATAAGGTTATCATTGACGTCAAATGGTAGACATGAAAGCTAAAAATAGTAGGGATGGATTAAAGACAGAGCTGCCAACCTCCAGAACAGAAAATCAGTAATCACAAGGCTCAAAATCAGTAATTTTAGGTATAAATCAGTAATTTCCTATGCTGCGCTATGAATCTAAAAAAAACGGCACGCCAACACTGCGCGGACGCATGATTATCTGAAATTTTTGGTGACTAATTTACTCACACAAAGTTGTTAAATATTGAGTTTCAGGTCATCACAACAGTTTTCCATGAAAAATGGCTCCTATTAATAGAATACTTGATACTTTTCCGTCTTTCTCAGCGAGTGTTGGAGGCCGCCATACTTCACAGCACTCGTTAAGATAAATCATATTAAAAAAAAAATTAAAAAAATTTAAAAAAAAAAAAAAATTAAAAAAAAAAAAAAAAAAAAAAAAAAAAAAAAAAAAAAAAATCCGTAATTTGAGACAACATTCCGTAATGGTCGTTAATTTCCGTACCAATTACGGGAAATCCGTACTAGTTGGCAGCTCTGTAAAGAGATTATGTGAAGAAAACAATTTCCAATCAGTTAGTTTCTTAATAAAGGTTTCTTCCCCGGACTTAAGACCATCATTAAAGGAGCTACACAAAGAAAATTCACTAACAACTCATGATTAGAACAAATTACATATGGATAGAAAGATTTTCTCTTGAAAAACACGAACAATTTGCTGAGAAATCATATCAATATCATGGAAAGGCGTAAAATGCAATTTTTCAAGACCCTCCTTAGACCCCGGAACGCCCCTGAACGTAAGTCAAACACACAAGCGTAGCAAGCTCTGAATTGTGACATCACACACTGGACGAACAGCTCAGTGCTGTGTAGAGGTATGCAGCTACATGTAGCCAGCCGTGTCCCGTATGTGACGTCACAAATATTGACACTCTACGAAGGACCGCTGAACGCAAAAAATCTGGATCTCAAAACTAACATTTTTGAGAGTTGATTACTGCGGCCCGAAACATATTTTTAAGAGAAGAGTTGTTGTATTTGATCGGCAAGGCTTCCCCTTCACAATGATATGAGTTTTGCATCAATTCAAAACACTTTTGATTTCTTCGTGTGGCTACTTTAACATTAAAATTCGTCGCCTGGCTGGCAGAAGGGCGTTAGCTTGAATTTCAGCTTAAAAATGAAACGTTAAGCAGAAGGGCGTTAGCATTAAATCGCCTCAAACTTTTATAAAACTGACTTATTTCCGGAAAAAATTTGTGGACGTGTTCTATTATAACATTGCTATTAGTCTTTTAAGTTTTAAACCAATTTGAATATAAAACAAATCTTTAAATGCGAACAATTCGAAAAGTAGTTTTAAAGTCGCTTGCGCACTAACGCCCTTCTGCCAGCCAGCCAACGAATTGTTGATTAGCATAAACAGGTGAAGCAAATAACATTGGTTTAATTATCCCTCCATAGAAAGACTCAAAACGTCAGTAATTATTACAGATTGACAGTAAAATGTCAGACAAACAAGACTGAAATAAGAAATGAAGGATACAGAATAAACATCAAAGAAGCCATATATCACAGCTATTTCTTGGTAATTGGTAACAAACATATTCATTGACGTTAGATATTCAATTACCCCTCCATCGAAGGATTAAAATGTCAATTAATATCAAAGACTGAAAATAAATTGGCAGACAAACAACACAGAAATAAGAATGAACAATACAGAATAAACATAACAGAAGCCCTATTACAGCTACTTTATATTAATTGCTAACAAACACATTTCTTGACCTTTGACATGCTGGCTTGTTCACAGGTTGATCACATTTAAATTTTCTTTCTTTTTCTTTATCTATAGATAATGATGCAAGCATAACATGCTTTCCATACACCTGTATGCTACATCAACCTTATGCTACATCAATCAATAACGGGGACAAGTAGGAGCTTTGTTGTCGGCAACTACATTTCTTCCGACCCAATTGCCTTTAAGTATTCTCCAAGAGATTAGGGGGGAATTGTTGACTGGCCTACGGGTTGGACCAAGTCTGGTGTCAGCGAATTATGGCCTTCTGCACATGGAAACTGACGAGTGACTCCCTTTAAGCTCTCCAAATATAGATACAAGTTGGGTCCTGTTTCGTAAAATACGTTATCAATCAGAAATGCTTAATTTCTATGACAAATTTGCTCTCAGCCAATGAAAAGCCATGATTTTAGTAGCTTATAACAGTTATTGCAACTTGTTATTGATAACAGGGCCCATTTGTGACTGAACACTGGCATGAATTTGTTGTTTTGCATTTTTTAATTTTGTTTTATTCAATCAACACAAAATAATGCTAGAAGAAGTATCATCACTTACAATTCTGCAGCAGCTGCTAACTGTAACACATCTCCACCATGCGTGTAGTACAAGTAAAAGAGCAGATCTTCTCCGTATCTTGATAACTTGATAGGTGCAAGCTGAAAAACAAAATAAAAAGAAGGGTGCAATAAATCAAAATCCCTCATTACCAAAGAGGCGCATATTTTGGACCCATCAACGACTGAATTCTCATATTTCCCATAGGTTAAATACAGACACCATCCTGTTCCAGTAGGCAATGGGTTTATTTGTCTTCAACAATATGAACAATTGAATTCAGCTCAGTTCAGTCCAGTCCAGTCCAGTCCAGTCCAATCCAGTCCAATCCAGTCCAGTCCAGTTCAGTTCAGTTCAGTTCAGTTTTGCAGTGCACGTAAAATATGTATATATAAAAATTGCAACAATAAGAAAACATGTAAAATTAAATGAAAGAGTTACACAAAATAGATTACACTAATACAATTAACTTTACTTCAGCGATGTCAGATTTATTTTGCTGGTAGAGTTGGGGGGAGGGGGGGGGGTTGAGGGAGGGAGGGCGTTTCACTGGTGATAGAGACTAACCTTATCTCGTATGTGGAGATTGGTGAGATACTCCTGGGGTACGTGATAGTCAATGTCTTGAGGTCTGCTTGGTGCATCCGAACTCGGCGACTGGAACGTACTGTACAGGTTTCTATAAGAAATTACAGGATAAGAATCACAATTACCCACATGTATCTTCATGACCAGAAAAAATTGTCTGATTTTAATTTCAATTTCAATTTCATTTTATTGTCCCGTGAAAATCCACTTTGCTCACATCTTACACACAGCTTAAGATAACATAATGTACATTGATACACGTACATGGCATAGATAGATGTTATAATGGGATAAAACAAGAGCAGTATTCAGTATTTTGTTTTGACTTACTTACAGGCTAAAAAGTGGTTGTGTGACATGACCAAGAAAATACAAAAGAACTTGATATTACATAGTAGACTGATTGTTTGTAACAGTATGGATAGAGAGAGGAACAAAGGAATTTAGGAAACCTTGAGTACGACAGTTTATGGATCTGAGTCGTTTACCATAGCACATGAAAACATAATCTTTACATGTACTTGAAACACACATGATGCCATTGACTTTATGCACACAGTTACTAACAAGTAGTTACTCCTACACAACATCGGTACCACACGAGTTAGAGAGAAAAACCTGAGAAAACAAGGGGGTGTATCACAAAGACTAAGATCGACTTTAAGTTGGACTCAACTATAGCAGGCCATTCATGCCACTGGTTGCTCTCACTACTGGGCTCTCAATTATGATCTTTAGATTAAATTTTGTCCTTCAACAATGAACTATCAAAAAAGGTAAATTCTGAAGATTTGTGACCACAAATTGTACGTCCCTTGAGAAAGCAATGCCAGGAATGGTTAGAGGAACTAGTGGCATGAACGGCCTGCCACAGTTAAGTCCAACTTAAAGTTGATCTTGGTCTTTGTGAAACTCTCCCATGGACTTACTCTGGTGAATTGAGATTGAGTCCCAACGTTGTCAGGTCGCTCCCGAGGGCTAACTGGACGAGATTAGGGTCCGTCTCTGCTGCTCTGATGAAGGTTAGAAGTCCTACCATACCAAATGGATCCGTTAACATTCCTGGTGGGATGTTCATCACTTTACCTGAACACAAAAAAAATGAATTTAAAATATTTGCTAACTGTTGTTTGATAATAAGGTACTATGCGCTTAAAGGTAAAGACCAGTTTTGGTAACACCCCCCTCTCAAAAAAGGAAATGGAAGCTCTTTTTACCAATCATGTGAAAGAATATGTTTTGACTAATACGTGATGATACAAATTTTGCCGGGAAACCGCCTACTAATTGATATATTTGGTAAATTATCGATCCGGCCTAGATAGATATCACAAATGCACTTCAACATTGAAAATTCAGGCATTAATTTTCAGCTTTGTTGCAAATTTAGGTTGAAGTATTGCCCTCTAAACCTCTGAATGCAATATTTAAACAATATTGAATTGATATTTTGCACCTAAATCCCTTGAACCACAATTTTACTACTACCAGTCTTAACTTTTAATCCACATTTAGGGTTATATTTTAAAAAATTAATTTGCCTGAACACAAGAAAAACACATATCGTCATTGCAATGGCTACCAAGAATTCATAATGATAATAATACTTGGATTGATATGGCCCCTTTACCAGAGGATACAGGGCATTGAAGTACTGTGTTTGATTAAAAAAAACCTGTCTAATACTGTTCATATACATGTACATACCATCTGCGTGTATTTGGATGCCTTTGACCTCATTCCCGTTGCCATTCTCTTCCGTGTTGTTGTTTGCCTTGTCCCCAGGAAACCTTGCATTGTCTTTTTGTTCTAAGAAGGGTAGGGAGACAAAAATAATGATTACATCGACATCAACAAACATTTCTTTAATACATGCATGTAATCATCATCATGATTCATACATGAGATAATTGAAATTTAAAATCTATTTGTTTTCAACCCATTGCCTATGGGAAACGGGTGGCCCCTGTATTTAAAGTGACTCAGTACTGTATCTTTGCCTCAGAAGGCTCAGATTCTGAAACAAGATCCTGGATTTAGCTCATGCTGCAATGATAATTATAAACCATAGGTCAGTCAGGAACCCTGTCTAGAATGACTTTTACATGTGTGATTATCAAGATATTTATGATTGGAAATTGAAATTTCATTTTTCGTTTTCCTATCGGTTTTTATAACACTACGGTCTATTGGGGGAAAACGAGTATGATAAAACCGGTCACTCAAAGGTTTTTTACTTTTTTGCGGCACTTCTTGATCATTTTGAAGCGTGATTTTTTTTTAAGGCTTCAATATAACACCATATCACAGACACTGATAACATGTAGGGCCGTGCATCTCATATTTAACATTGTTAAAGCCCATCTGTACTAGTGTACGGGAGGGATTAGACCACTCTGCAAGGTCACTGGACAGGTGGTTATCTCATCAAACCAGCTCTCAATTAACATACGAAAAACAGGATCATGGGGGACCAATGGTCACCGATTAGGCATGGTTTGTTATATAGAGGGAGCAAGTAGCTTAAAGTACATGTACATGTAGTACAGTGGGCCTTTAAACAGATGTTGTAGATTACCAAAAGTAGACCTCATTTCATCTCTCTGCACTGTCGCTCGTTTGCTACACATGCAATTTCGCACTAAACAATAGACCCAAATGATACAAATGCTTTGTGCTACACAATGGCATTGTATAACATTTTTATGTCTGCCTTTTTGTTGTATGAAATCCAACTCATGGTTGCAATAAATAAATAAATAATATAATTAAAAAAAAAGAATAAAGAGTTGAGAAACGTACCACTCTTGATGTTTGCTCCTGGTAGCGCTGGGAAGTCCTCGCTCTGCATCTGGAACTCCGGGGTCGGCTCCGCTTGTTTGCTTACCATACCAACTGCATCAAGTATGAAACGGGGGGAGGGAAGAAGAGAAACAGAGACAGACAAGAAAAAACAAAAACCCATCCCATTCCACTACGCTGTCGGGACCGGAATCTCTTAAAGGCTTAATTCATCATTGTTATTCAAATTGGCAACAATATTTCAGTTTCGATGCTATATTACTCTATAAGAATGTATTATGGCTCTCAAAACTAAACACAAAATTTGAAAATTTCGGTAAGTTGAAATATGGTTGATTGATAAGCAAAGATTTTGAACCTCCCAATATGTTGCCAATTTAAGAATTTTAAAGCTTATTTTGATTTTCTTTTTATTCTTGGCATCATTCTTTTATACAGGTTTTCACTAACCAAAAAAGGAGAAGAAAAAATATGCCTCACCTATGAAAATTGTACAATGCCTTTGAAAATTGAAACACAATTCACAGCACCAGAAATCAGAGACACAAACAGAAAGAGGAAGAAACTGAGGGAGTGAGATGGACAGAGGCAAAGAGAAATAGCAGGAAAACTGGAAAAGAGGTGGCCAGACAGAGGCAGAGGGAGTCATGAAGAAACAGTGAGATAGAAAGGGTGTGTGAGAGTGAGGGAGAGAGAAAGGGAGAGAGACAGACACATAAACGAAGAGCGAGAGAAAAAGAGAGACGGACAGACAGACAGACAGAGACACAAACAGGTAGAGGAAGAAAGTGACGGAGTGAGATGGACGGAGGCAAAGAGAAATAGCAGGAAAACTGGAAAAGAGGTGGCTAGACAGAGGCAGAAGGGTGTGAGAGAGAGACAGAGAAAGAGAGAGAGAGAGAGAAAGGGAGAGAGAGAGAACATGGGAGAGATAGACAGAGAGACAGACAAATAGACAAAAAGAGAGAGAGAGAGAGAGAGAGAGAGAGTGGGGGGGGGGCAGGGCGAGGGTAAATGAGAGGGAGGGGGATAACAGACTGACACAGCTAAAATTATTACAGAGACCAAAGTAATGTGGAGGGGGACAAAAGAAAAAGGAATGTCACAGACTTAATATTTACCATAAGCAGGCCTGCCTGCCATTGGATTTGGCTGAAACAAACTGACATTCCCTGATGACGATTCTCCCGTTTGTCGCCCTCTTGTGCCCGCCAAAACTGGAAAGTCCGTGCTGTCAAGGATTGAGGTGTCATTTGCTGCAAGGTAGAGAAAGATACAGGGCAGTTATTTACACATTTCAGTCCAAAATATCTTGCTGGTTTTAATCTTAGATTCTCTCAAAACGTTTAAAGAAAGCCAGAAGGGAAGGACTCATCTTATTATGCACAAGTTCAAGCCATTCAAGATCTGAGCAAACTTATTAAAGTATGGCTTGATCAATTCCAAATGAAACACTGTAGGCAAGTTTCACAAATAAATTAGAAGGTTAAATTTGTCTCCTTTGATATAATTCTAGTGTATCTTCAGTTGCACATGTAGGTCAGTTTGGTTATGACACTGTACCGGAAGGTTTCTTTTGTTCAAAGGTTTCAATTTTACAGTGGCTTCACATGTACAAATCACCAGAATACATTTTCTCTGTATGTTAGGACTATATACATTGAAATGCTTCAAATATATGTATAAGGGTTATTTAAGTGGAACAAAATGAAATTGTCATTTATTATGTAAAATGTAAAAGCTGTAACTTCCTTCTTCTTGTCTCTTATCTTTTCTCTTTTCTTTTCTTCCTGCGACTGTCTTTACCTTTATGTTATCTTTATCTTTCCTCTGTCCTCTGTTGTTGTGAATGTATGTATTATGTTTTTTATATAAAATGAGTTTATATCTTGTTTACGTAAGTATTTATTTGGGGATCATTCTCATCAAGCCAATTTTGGCTTTCATGATTCCCTACTTCCTTTTATGTTATGTTGATAATGAACGAACATGAATATACTTTTGATGTTTTTTAAAAGAGAGTGAAATAATAAATGAAATAAAATGAAATGAAATATTCAATATATATGAGCTTTGTATATTACTTCTGTAAATAAATATTGCAGGTTCAAAGACACTCTCAATCAGCATAAAAACAACTCTGACTTTGGTTCCGTTCACAGGGTTTAATTTTATTCTTGATTTTCTTCAAATTCCATACTAAACTGTTAACCAATAGAACAGGATTTAAGGTTTGTTTAGGTTGTATTTATACATTCCACCTGTAAATAAAATATTTTATTGGAAATAGTTTATTGATCACAAATGCAATTACTTCTCTCCTTTGCATAATGAATTATGTTATTATGACTTATGTTTGCTCTGTTTTTGTTTTTCTTGAATGTTTAAACTACATGTGGTCTATCTACCCTGATTATCATCTGGGCCCCGTTGCATTAAACTTACCGTTGATGGTAACTTTGCCATTTTGATAGGCTGTTGAGCCCTGTTACCATGGTAGTTACCATTGATGGTAAAGTTACCATCAATGGTAAGTTTTATGCAACAGGGCCTTGGTGTTTGTATATTTCTATCATTTGCAATATCGTATTCTATGTATTTTAAAAATTTTGCTGGTAAAATGTGAACAATTCAGCCCATCTGCTGCTATTAAAGGCCGGCTGTAAGCTGTACACAGCATGGTCAATGACAGGTGGCTATCTCATCAACTCAGCTCTCAATTAACATAAGAAAAAGAGGATCATGGGGGACCAATGGTCACCGCTTAGGCATTGGTTTCTATATAAAGGGAGCAAGTAGCTACAAGTAGGACAGTGGGGCTTTAACACATTTTGTATTTATACAATGAATAAATAAATACATATAAATAAAATATTTTTAAAGTAGTATTCCCAAATGAAATGTTATCTACCACCTGCCACATCCATCACCACTCACCATTTCCGTAACCGCCAAAGTTGCCTAATAACGCGCTCTGTCCTCCACCAAAGCTTGGGGGTCGATTGAACGCGCCAATACCGCTTGAGTTGGTCGGCGTTACTCCGCTTCCTATTACCCTCGACTGCTGCTGTTGTTGTTGCTGCTGTTGCTGTTGTTGTTGCTGCTGTTGTTGTTGTTGTTGCTGTGCTGACGAATGTTTCTGCTGCATAGCTAGAATACTGGGTGAGGTCCTGTTGTGACCCATGTTAAGCAGCCCCCTAAAAAAATATTAATGGAAAATAAACATTATTTGCACTTAAACAAAAATAAAGGGATTCTGTAGACCTGGCAGAACAAAAGCTGAAGAGCATTTTAAACAAATAAAGAAATTATCATGAAATATGACAATCATGGTCGGCTATCTATGGTCTATGGAAATCTATGGTCGGCTTAAAAATTTTTTTTAATTTAAAACCTCTTTTTGGAGAACAGAAAAAAAATATTAAAGCATTCATAAGTGAGAAAAATTAGCTCAAAGACGGAGAAAAAAGTATTAAAAAAAAAGATATCCGACCGCCCGACCCATGTTTTGGCACCTAAAGGGCTATACAACATCTTTCTTTTTTTGGCCGGATAGTAAACCGGTCCATTTCAAACCAACACATGACCTTTGACCTCACCTGTTTGGTGATGCCGGGTTAGGAGGTGGCATGGAAGGCATGGGCATGCCCGATGATGATGTAGGGAGACCAAGACTGGAGTGGCTTGACATGCCTGAACTCCGGGGAGGAGGGAAGGCTTGCTGCTGCTGCTGCTGCTGACTGGACATCCCTCTCGGCGGTAACGCATTCTGGATGCCTAATCCTGTCAAGGAATCAAATTCATCTTCATCATTTATTAAAGTCAGTATTCTTCTCTCTTAAAGCCTGTCTGTACTAGTTTGGCCAGGAGGGATTAGACCACCCAGCATGGTCACTGACAGATGGTTTTCTCATCAACTCAGCTCTCAATTAACATAAGAAAAAGAGGATCATGGGGGACAACGGGCACCACTTACATGTAGGCATTGTTTTCTATATAGAGGGAGCAAGTAGGTCCAAGTAGTACAGTGGGGCTCTAAGAGGGGTTACTGAAATTTGTGCCATGATGACACTCCCTCCCACGACTTCTTCTTGTATTTAGCATCCTCCTCATTCAGAACAACCTTACGGCTTTCTATCTATAGCTTTGATTGTTAATGTGAGGCTTTTGTTCTTGGCATACATGTACATGGACATGTAATTATAGAATATAAATAACCTTTCAAGAATAATCTTTTATGTACAGTTCTTTGTTTCCTTGATCAATTAGAGACATAATGTTTCCATGGATATATGTAAAAAAGAGGGGACTAACGGGTACCGCTTTGGCATTTTTTGCTATATAGAGGGCACAAGTAACTACAAGTAGTGCAGACAGGCTTTAAACACTCCAATTCTTGGGCAGAATTTGCAGCCAATGGGACTGAAGGACTTAATGACAATTGACAAATTTCCTAAGTTCTTACCTTGCTGACTGCCATAAAAACTTCCTGAGAACTGTGAGAGAGACTGGGATTGCGACGTCATTAACTGGAAGATGAAGAGAAAGATTGGGATGTGACTTTTCTTTCTTGAAACACACTCAATTAATTGAGAAATAATCTTGCTTATCAAAGATATCGTCATCATGATCGTCATCGTCGTCGTCGTCATCATCATCATCATCATCACCACTACCACCACCACAATCAGATGACCATCTCCATCATCACCACCAAATTGCAATTATCTCCATTTACCACAACAACCACCACCACCTCATAATTATCACACTTATCACCAGTGCCACATTATCTTCATATCATCATCACCATGATCACTGCTTACACCACCACCATCACCACAACCCTCTCTGTCACCATCATTACCACTGCCACCACTGCATTGTAGTTATCATTATTTACCACCACCATGACTATGATTATGATGTCATCATCATCATAATCATCATCATCATCATCATCATCACCACTACCACCACAACCATCTCCATCACCACCACTTTGTAATCATCATCATTTACTACCACCATCACTATCATCATCATCATCATCATCATCATCATCATCATCATCATCATCATCATCATCATCATCACCACTACCACCACCACCACCACCACCACCACCACCATCACCACTACCACCACCACCACCACATAAATTATCTTACATCTTTTTCTGGTCTGTGAGGAGGGAACATGGATGCAGGGTTGAAGAACATGGCATCACCGAAGTCATTGTCTCCTCCTTCCTTGTAAGGACCCATCTTACTCGTCTTCTCTTTCGTTCTACTCCCTAATAACGAAAATTCTGCGGCAAGCCAAATACACAATCCATCAAAAGGGGTTCATAAAGGCATCATCTAAAATATTGATTTAATAATACTACAGATACTTTCCATACTCTAAATACTAGACACTTCAGTTTTGGGTTCATAAAGGCATTGTCATTTCTAAAATATTGCTTTAATAATACTACAGATACTTCCCATACTTTAAATACTACAGACACTACAGTTTTGGGAATATAATAACACAATTTAACAAATTTTACACTGGGTGTTCAAACTTCCTTTGATCAAATGATATACACTCAAAAAACCAAACAGAAAATACATCTACAATGTACGTGAACAAGCTTGGTGATAAGCAGGAGAATATTAGGCTATTATCTCTATCTGGCCAATTAATGGAATGTGAAGCCCATGTATGTGTGAATAGTTTTCCGAGTAAGATATCTTTAGCAAGCTTTTCCAAACTTTCCATTACACTTTGCCAATCTAAATAGCATTCCACAGCATGATGTACATGTACACATACAATTCAGAATTACATTCAGACTCTTGGTTTTCATTAAGTTTCTTGAACAATACAATTCCATAACCAGGGTAGTGTTTCACAAAACCATCATACATGTAAGTACAAGTTCACAGACATCCCAATGAAATGTAACCAAAGTTGCTAACTACAACACACATGTTCAATGGGATGTCAGAAAATGTGTACTAATGGCATTATTTTTTTAATGATTTACAGAAATCTGATAAGCTTCAAGGGAGTTTTTTAAAAGTTCATTTTTAGCTGAATGAAGTCATTCTTACCTTGTGATGTTAAGTCTGTTGCACCGGGTTTCCTTATCTCTTGCGTCATACCAAATCTAAATTGAGGGAAAGAAAAAGATAATTGATAAATCTAGATTTATACAGCGCTTACAACAAAGTACCATCTCTAAGCACTTTACAAAGTATTATTACCCATGTCATCAGATTTATCCATGCACAGTGTGCACCATCTCCACTTCCTGGATAGTGTATCTACCATGGTCATTTCACCGGTATTGCACACTTTTGATTTATTTATTTATCATTTCTTTGTCCTTTGAAAGTGATGATCATGTAAATTAGAGTAAATGGCTCACTATCAATTATCTCATAAAACATGCATGTGTTTAGATGAGACGGTACATGTAGGAGAGATTCTAACTTTTTTCCCCTTATATTTTCTGTATTAAATTGCTGTAGTACAGAATTACATGTAGGCTTAGTGCTGTCTCCGAAACATAGTTACTCTTTTACAATTTCTCTCTATCACAATTGTGAAGACCAAAGGCACTTAAAAACAATTTTAAGCACAGTTTATCAAATTGCTGTAGTAAAGAATTAGGCTTACTGCTGTCTCCGAAACATCCTCTTTTACAATTTCTCTCTATCACAATTGTGAAGACCAAAGGCACTTAAAAACAATTTTAAGCACAGTTTTTCAAATTGCTGTAGTACAGAATTAGGCTTACTGCTTTCTCCGAAACATCCTCTTTTACAATTTCTCTCTAAAGATTGATGAGAAGACAATTGAAAAGACTAAAGGCATTTAAAAACAAGTTTAAAGCTACATATTTTGATCCTCAGCAGAAGAATAAGGCGACCCACACTGTACACGTTATCTTGATACATTGAACAACATGTTTACAAATATCTCTCATCTTTTTATGGCTTCCTCTTCACAAGTATTGATTCATTAACTTATCTTGTATAATATATCTGAACATGAAATGGCCTTCATGTGCAAATAAATATTACTATTCAGTATTTCAATAAACATATAATGAAACTTGATAGAGACCACCTGTACAGAAAGGCCATGTACATGTATTAACAGGCATACACCTCCACCCCCCCCCCCCCCCAATGACCAGTGCTCCTCATTTGAAAGCTGAATTAAGGATGTCCATGAAACTTTTTTGATAGACCAGTTCACGGTTCGAACATGTCCCCTATGACCCTGAATATCCACAGATCTTCAAAACATGAAGAGGTCCCACTTTGTAATTTTTGAAATAATCACTCCTACAACAATGGAGGTGCTACATAAATAGCCTTATTTATTTTCCCTTTTCAAAGAATACTTGCACCTGTGTATCATGGAGTGCACTGCTTGGGCATAAATGAATAATGATTACATAACTTTCATGAGCACGTACAGTATCCAGTATTTTGTCTCTGTGTATTGCACAATTTGGTCTGCAATGACCTTTATCTGCTCATGCTCAGACTACAAATATGAACTGGCTTATTATGTTACCGCTTACCGGCATCTTCAAACTCTTTACTAAACCTGACGATTTGTCAAGTTGACGGCCCTATCTGAGCAAAAACAAATCAAACGACACATGCTATTTGTACACCCTGCACACAAAGACCACCTGCTAATAAAGACTACATTTCTTGTCTCACGTGAGTAGCCATTATATAGAGGTTTTGCTGGAAAGCAAATACTTACTGTCCAGACATCTTGAAAGGTGTTCTTTCATCTGGATTGTCTTGGTCTGCACACAAAAAAACAAACAAACTAATAGTTAAGACAAATACAAAGTTTTAAAAATATAATAAAAATTAAAAATCAAATACCATTAAAGGGACTTGGTAACATTGTTCAGATGAGAAATAGTGGTGCTAAGGTAGTGACTTCAATGCTAGATGTACAATTAAAGATAATCTGAATATTTGAGTGAAAACGGACCATTTTTCATGGTACAAATTGGGAAAAACTGTGATAATTAAATTCTCCCAACTATATTATTACAATTTAATTACATTTTAGGTAAATGGAAATCTCACAAAGCAATAAAATGGCTCTACATTCTATTCCAGACATTAAAAGTGTTGACAGATTTTTTATAGCCTGTTTTATGTCTTTTTTTCATGGAAAAATGGTTGGGAAAATTCAAAAATGGTTGGGAAAATTAATGTTAATCCCTGTTAGAGGGTGTCGTACATCAATGCCTTTAAAGAAAACCATAGATATCTTTGTGGTTTGAGAAATTTTTCAGGATTTTATGCATGTCAGAGGGTTAGAACAGTAGAAGGAATATAGTAAGTAACATTTTATACACAAATTAAGAAATTGTTTTCATCAACTTTCAACAATGTTACCAAGTCACTTTAAGGAAGAACACATACATGTACATGGAAGTTGAAGGTGCTTAATTCTAGATTATTGGAATACACCTCTTGTTTAGAACTGAAAACTACTAACAAAAATTTTTGCCAAAGAAAATCTCTGTTTTGGAGAATATCAAGGGGTTTGAGCATTCTTAGTGCTCTGCATTACTATACTGTAGATGTTGTTTTGAAAACTGGAAAATGATTAAATCAAAGGGATCCGGTAACATTGTCTTAGATCCTTAAAAAAAATCCTTGATTTAGCTCATGCTGCAATGATAATTATAAACCTTTAGGTCAGTCAGGAACCCCATTACTTTTACAAGCCAATCGCCTGTCTGATTATCAAGATATTTATGATTGAAAATCTAAATCAAATTTTAAAATAGGGGTATTTTATTACGCGGAATTTGTTTTTTTCACATCGCAAGCGAAACCCGCAGAACGCCGGAAAAAAAATTGTTCCGCGGTCGATACTTATTTTTAAGGCACATTTTGTCCATGTATCCAAGGGCAAGGATATCCTCATTTATGTAGACCATCCTCATTCTTGGACCAGCGCCCCTACTGGTTAGACCTCATGCATTGTTTGAGTGAGTATCACTACATGATACATTACTGATCAGGTTTTGAATTCAAGAATTGTCATGTCCAGAGACACCAAGTTCAAAGATCAACTATGCTAGGCAAATTCATGCAAAAAAATATATTAAAAAAATTGACTTGAAAACACATCAGACAATTAGTCTGAACCGAGTCAGGAGCAAATTTGAAGAAATTATATTTTTAAATGTTGTAAAACTAAAGATATCAGAAGAAAACTGACCAAGTATCTGTCCTAAAAATCTTACATGTAAAATTGGTCGTAGACATTCGACAGCTGAAAATGACGCGCACGGTTGCGTTACGTGCGTTTATGAATCCAAAATCGTACCTCACACACACATTCTCGCCATACCGGGAATGGTCCGTCTTTGGGAGCTAGCCGGCTGAGAGTTTGCCAGCGATACCAACGCACCTTCAGAGCTCCACAGCGTGCAATTTTAGCGAAACTAAAAAGGTTCAAGGTGGGAAGGTGGCGGGCTAGCTTTTTGCCAAAACAACGCTAGATCGTCTGCTGGCAAAGTGAAAATAACTACGATCGAGAATATCGTCGGTTTCTTAACTTTTCAGTGAGATAATTCTGAATTCTAATTGAGACTATATAATAAATTAAATCGACAAAGAAACCTTGGTACATGTAGATCTCTTATAACTATACAAAAGCTTGTTTATTTCTTCATTTGACATTTGTTTTCGAGCCATTTTTTCGTAAGCGAGTCAATGCAAACTATGTATTACCAAACTTTCAACACACAAGGAACGGGGAACACTCGCAGACCTCGTATCAAATTCGCTGCAAAAAAAAATTTCAAGGGTGATTTTGAAGCAGTGAAAAAAGTTGGCGCTGTGATGCGCAGAAATATACTTGAAAGAAGCTTAAAAAATCACACCTGAATTTTCAGAAAATCGCATTTGTATTACCGTACCTAGTTGTGAGTTGTTTAAAACTCAGATTTTATGAAGATTTGTCAGAAAAAAATGTCAATTTTTTCCGTTTGGTGGTCATTTCTAGGCTGATATTTAAAAAGTTGCATCAGTAATGGGCCCGATGTTTCTCTTTTTGTACTCGCATGTTATTTCTACTTAGATTAAACATAGGACGGTTAGGGGTAAGACCGGATAACATTATAAAAAAGATATATCCTTCCAACCTCCCATATCCAAGTTTTGGGCTGATTATTGCCGACCCACCACAGCAAGGCCATTCAGATTTTCGTACGCGCGCGAAGCACCCTCAAGTGCCCCATGAATGTGCCTAGCTATGCATGACATTTTCATGACTCGAGGTGCGAGTGCGCAGGCGAGGGTATAACACACGTATAGCGTAGAGCATTTTCAGACACTCGAAATGCGTGACACTTGGTAGCTCTGCATAATTCGTTATTGATTTCTAGACTTGTCACAATCACATTTCACAACAATGAAATTAATCTAAATTTTAGCAAGCAAGCTCAATTAAGCTACTGTGTTGCAAAATCAAATTATCAACTACAGAATGTGGAAATATTTGGGAATTCATCTAACCCAATAAAATTAACCTCCTTAAAATTGAAAAAAATCTAATATAAGCACGCCAACAATCACAATCGACAAAAGTTTATCCGTGACATAGACCCTACACAAATAAGAACGTATGGGACTAAACTTAACAAAATGGCATTGTAACGAACCTACGCGACACAGCAAAATCAAAACACAATTATGAAGCAATCCAAGTATAAATTCACTCAACACAGATCGTTATGTTTAAATCGCTATTTAAGGATCCATAATTTCTACACAGATTGAAATATATTACAGATATAACGAGAAAAATCTTTAAAATATTTTACTTACTGAAATTGAAGATTGTCATTGATGTTGTACGTAGTAATGGCTGCCAATCGTAAGGAGTTTAGCGCCATCATGCGGCAAAAAATTGTGCTCAATTCAAATTACAGTTATTTAGTTTCATTCGTTTTGCCCCGTTTCGCGCATCGTTTGTTGTGCATTTGTTTGTGTTTGGTTTTTATGGGTCTCTATGTTTTGCTTTAAGTCAGGATTTGTATTAGTTTTCCCTTTGTTCTGTTTTTGAAAACTTCCTCCTAGTTCAAAACAATACCTTATATTCTTCTCCTTCAGCTTTTCTTCTCCCTCCACTCTCTTGTCGCCCCCTCTCTATCTCTCCTTCGAATCACTCTCTCTCTCTTTCTCTTTCTCCCTTTCTCTCACATCATAGCCAACTTTTTTGTAGTTTCCGGTTTTTCTCTTTCTATGTAAATTTGGGGCAAATCATGAGAAAATATTTAGCGGCGAATCAGCCAGCCGGCGAACGTCGAATGAGCGGGGGGGGGGGGGGGGGGGGATTTTTTTTTGTTGGTTGGGGGGGGGGCAAAATGTTATTTTGGGGTTGTTGTTGTTGTTGTTGTTTTTGGGGGGGTCAGGGGGGCCGCTTTAGGTAAAATTTACGTTACTTTCCTATTTTTCTTTTACTGGTTTGGCAGGCTAGAGAGAGGGGGGCGGTAGAATCGGCCCATGGATCCGCGCCTGCCCATACTCGTATACATGCAGTGTGAGTCCAAAAAAGGTTTACACCTAGAAAATTGCTAATTATTTTCAAAATCATTTATGAACAGTACATTACTATACATCTTATGAAAGAGTGTTTATATCCGAAATCATTTGGTATCATTTTTGTGTGGTATGTGTTCATGCTCGGATGAACAGGAGGCAATGTTTGTAAAAGTGCAAAAATCGACTTGCGCCAAAGTCGCTTATGTGATGTTTTAATAAAATAATTGGAATTTGGGTATTTAATCGGTTTTTACAGATCCAAATAACATCCCTAACAAAATTAATCATGCCACACATATCAAATATCGAATATCAAATATCAACGAACATTTGTGTGCGTTTGTGTGAGCATGTGTGACTTTGCTTCTGCAAAAAGCATATGCAATGCATTTCACTCCGCTAATCCCAACATAATACATGCTGTAGGCGTCAAGTCTATTTTTGCACTCTCGCAAACAATGCCTCATGTTCATCCAAGCGTGAACACATACCACACACAAATTATATCAAATGATTTGGGATAAAACACTCTTTCATAAGATGTACTGATTTACTGTTCATAGACGAGTTTTAAAATAATTAGCAATTTTTTAGGTGTAAACTTTTTTTGGCTCACCGGCATGGTATACATGTATTACATATCGAATAAGTAAGACAAAATGGAAAAATAAAGTGGGAAATAGATTAGGCCTATGTGATATTCATGTTCGAGCTACCCTTTAAGGGTACTATGTCCCTTTTGCAGCCAACCTCAAATGATGTAGAACTTTGCAGGAATTATGAATATGTCATGTATGTCCTATCTGTGAAATTTAAACGTTAGCAGTGTCCTCATATTCAAATTATGCAAGGAAACCCGTTTACTTGCTAGACTTCACTGTCAGACACTATTGAGTGACTGACTGGCTTTTTTTTCTTCTTTGGTAATAACATACATGAAAAGAGTTGTAAAGGGTACATTAGCATTTGTCTACATCAATAACCCACTTCTTGTGATGGCAAAGATTGAACTGATTGAATCTTTGCGCAGCATAAAACGTATGAACATTCGGTACAATTGTCTGAAAATCAAGACTATTACTTTTGGGCTCTATAGCCCTAAAGTCGATTTGCCAACTAATAGTCGTTATTTTCCCACTTGAAGACATTTTCAAGCCCCACCTTTTTTAGGGAAGTTCTAAATTAGTATTATCTTTCAAATGCAGTTGGAATTTAACTTTTTCATTTTTTTGGCCTGCAAATGGGACATAGTACCTTTAAAACAATTAACTTGTTAACATTTACCGCTTGAAAAAATAAGATATTCATTTTACTGTCAGGGGGGAGGGGGAGGGGGCGGGGGGCTGTCACACTCCGCAGCCATTTTAAGCAAGCCCACTTGCATTAGTATTTTAATGTGAGTTTTGAATTGTTAGCGAAAGAATTACATGCATGACGGATAGATCACAGAATAGTTTAAACCACAGCCCCTAAAAGCTATTTAAATTTTAAATATATTAAATAGCTTCGACATGCAGATACCGAAATGTGATTGGTCCAGAGCTCGTCAATTGCGAGGATCCAAATTGTTATATTTTCCTGGCCGGTAACTATTCAGTGTTATATTTTACCAGCTGGTGAAATGAATATATTTTTAATCAATAATAATAAATAATAATACATAACATTTATTAGGCGCTTAATACTGATGTTTCTAAGCGCACAGTGTTCTGATTAAGAGAAGACTATAACCCGTAGAATTAAATTAGAAGAAAAAGCAAAAATACAAAAGTAACATAGATAAGGTAAGAAAAACAGTGGCAATCAACTAAATAAAGACAAATATGGTGCGCACCTCCATTGACCGACGCACAACTGCAATTTACAATTTGAAAAGATAGGTTTTGAGTAGAGATTTGAATTGAGATACAGAGGGGGCGCAGTGAATAAAGGCGGGCAGTTTGTTCCAGAGAGCGGGGGCAATAACTGAAAAGGCGCGGTCACCATACCGGGTGTTAGTGCGGGGTCCAGGTGTTAACAGTAATGTGGAAGATGAACGAAGTGTTCGTGACGACGTACGGGAACGTAAGGATATGAGATCGGAAAGGTAAGAGGGGGCTAAGCCATTGATAGCTTTGTAGCACAGGAGAAGAATTTTGAAGGATATGCGGTGGTGAATTTTAAGCCAATGTAGTGAGTTCAATATTCAATGCATGTCGCCCTCTTGAGGACTGTATGTCACTAATTACACACATTACACCATTACCGAGGGCCATTTTTTTTTCCTTCAATACGTTTTTCATGAATTATTTTTTCCCCTTGAAATTATTTTTTCCACATTTTTTTTCTTTCCGCCAAAATGCAAGAATTTGTTTTCTTTCCTCCAAAATGCAAAAAAAAATTCCCCAATTTTTGTTTAAATTGTTTTTTAATCTCGAAATATTTTTTTTCAGTCAATTTTTTTATTTCCACTTCTTTTTCTAAAATTGTGATTGTACCCGAAAAAAAAATGGAAAAAATTTCGGGCAAAAAAATATTTTAAAAAAATCAAACCAGGGCTATCTAATATAACAGTTATTGACTGGCAGGGGGTATATAACATTCTTTGGACCTGAAGGGAGTTATATTTTCCCTCGTAACCATATTTTCCCTCAGCGCTGCGCGTTTTGGGAAAATATAACCACTTGGGAAATATAACTCCCTTCAGCAGTCCAAGTAATGTCGTATTACACCCCCTGCCAGTCAATAACTGTATAATATAAATATTATGGTAGATAAAAAATCGACGTCAGAAAGGTTGGAAAAGAAAGGACAAAGGAGAACAGAGAGCGAGGAGAGAGTGAGAGAGAGAGAGAGAGGGGGGGGGGAGATAGAGAGAGAGAGAGAGAGGGAGGGAGAGAGAGAGAGAGATTTTAACTAGGGTGAGATGAATTGAGAATTGCACTTTCACAGTATGCAGTGGTTATGGAAAAAAAATTAAAAATCTCAATCTAGTTTTCTTAATCCATTGCCTACTGGAATCTGGAGGTTCCTACTAAACATATTGGGCACATTAGAACTCAGCATTCAACGTCTTTTTTTTAGATAACGTGACCACCCAATCAAAAGTATTGTAAAGAGGATGCTTTTGATATGAAAACAATCTTAATGGATTTAACCTCGATATATTATAGTTCGGGTTGCATCGCATTGATTCATTAAAACGTTTTTATCATGGATTTTCTAATGGATTCAAGATAACAGAAAAAAAGCACAGAGGATGCCAAAACACGTCCTAATTTTAATACAATACGCTTGGAAATAGAATCCTCTTTGCATGAAACCTCTCCTGTAGAAGCGGAGTCTTTAAAGGGATAGTTGAGTTCTGTTGCAGAGGGCGCTACACAAAATATTTTTTTGGTGAGATAATGAAAAACTAAACGTCAAATTTGAAAGAACATACAATACAAATGACAAAATCATCTTTGTTTGATCAAAATCGGTTCAGAGACGGTTGAAATATTCATAAATATAACGCTTTCTAATTAATACTTGTGTATTCCACCACAAATATTAGATAATTTGAAAAAGCTGTTGAAAAAACGAAATAGCGTCTTGTACGTCGTACTTCTGCCAATGCCGATGTTGGCTTTTTTGTTGGCATTTTCGTGTTGGTTATATTACGCTCAACCAGCCTGTCCATGTATTGTTATTTTGAATTAAATGATTAATTAACGGTCACCGTGTTTTTTTGAAAGTGGAGCTGAATTGGTATGATCGTATTGGCTAAATTTCACACATTTTGGGGTCTAAAATTACCTTCATAGCAATTTTAGGTTCTAGAAGGGCACTAGAAATGTCATAGATTAGAATAAGAGCAATACCCATGCACTTTGAAGGCATTTGCGGTCTGAAAACAGAACTCAACTATCCCTTTAAGGTTTCTCTTTAGACAATAAATATACAGGTCATCGGTAATTTCTTCTTGGAAGATAGCATTGTAGAACAGTTTTCATCTCTGAAAAGATTACGGTTGGCAAATTAATTCAGATGGAGAAGTAGTTGATTTCATTTCATCTTCAAGTATAAAGGGTCAAATTGAACAATACCGTTTCCTTCAAGAGACGCATTTTGTTTGTCATTTTGACCTATTAAAAATATCCGGTATTTTTTTTCAGCGGATTTTTATTTGTTTAAATTTCATTCAGTAAAATGATCAAAAGATCGTCGTGGCCATTATCGCATTGTCAACATAATTCTTTGTAAAATAGTTTCATATCGCAGAAGACTTTGAAATGAATACTGCAAACAAACTTCAAGTAGAAAACGAAATATAAAGGAACAGCTCGAGAAGATAAGTTGGTCTAAAGTTTCTAATTGGTTGTCTTCATTTAACGTCAGGCGAAGAGATAGAGTAATACATAGTGTATTGATTCGGTAGATATAAAATACTGAGCATCTTCTAAAACGATTCTACTCTTGATTTCAGGCAGCACAACCATATAACTTGAATAATTGGGTTCGAGTAAGCTACAGATACCTTGTCTTATTTCGATCTGATATCTACAACAACCAAATATAACCTTTTTTAAAAAACCAAAATCAACTGATCCACTGATCAACAGTATCAAATTTTTAGAGAAAGATAAACGAAGAAAAACAAGTAATCAAGGAGCAAGAGATAAAAGATTTTACCAAAATCCACTGATCCACTGATCAACGGTATCAAATTTTTAGAGAAAGATAAACGAAGAAAAACACGTAATCAAGGAGCAAGAGATAAAAGATGGAAAGTGTTGGAATTAATGATACGTATACATCATTCTACGAAGAAAGTAGCTTCGAGAACGTCACTGACGTCGTCACAGAAGACGATGGTCCCTCAGCAGGTTTCCCCAGAGGTTTGGACGTCGAGGGATTGGTCTTGGGGATCCTACTCGTGATCCTCATCTGCGTGACCAACATCCTCAGCTTGGCTGCCTTCATCGTCGAACGCCGTCTCCGAACCTACAACAACTACTTCATCATCAATCTCGTGTTGGCTGATCTCGCCATAGGCGTCAGCCAGACCATTGGCGTCTATCACACCTTCCTAGGGCGCTTTCCCTTTTCGCAAGGATTCTGCAAGGTCTACATCGGTGTCCGTCAGGGTCTCCTCTTCGTCTCCACCCTCCAAATCGTGGTCATCTGCATCGACCGCTATCGAGCAACCTACGATCCTATCAACCACTTCATATCACGAAATAAACGGAAGGCCGTCATTATGAACACCCTGACTTGGGTGGTGGGCTTAGGTTTCTGGCTCTGCTACTCCACCGCCTGGGACTTCATCGTGAATATCAACTCGACTCAGAATTGCTTTGCTGCCTACATCCGAGACCCCATTGCAAATGTGATACAGAATGTCCTTACCTTCTTTGTCCCACTGGCCATCATCTGCTTGCTTTACTTCAGAATCTACATCAAGATCAAGGCCTCCATTGGTGGAAAGGGTGTCAGTCGGGACTTTAAGGATGGCACGCAAAACGTGATAGCAGAAATTCGTGGAGGGGCTTCTGTGGAATCTTCTATCATCAGCAGCACCGAAATGAAGACAGTCTGCGAAGATATAAACAACCTGACTGACAGGAACGTTGAACCCGTCAAAGACAAAGACGAAACAGAAAAGGTAGGACCAAAATGTCATGAATAATCTGATTATATATATATAAGTTTACAAAGGTATATGGGCACAAAATCACATAGATATTTTTTCAAACAAAATGATGACAGAACATTGTTATCTAAATATGGGCGGGTCGGTAAGGGTATGTCCTCATTTCCTAACTAGTGAGAAGCAAAAAGATATTTTAAAGGGAAAGAAACTCGTGTCACATTGCAGGGAACCCGTTCCCTTTGGACTGAAATTTTAGGATTATTCGAAGAATATTTGAGAAAACAATACTATATAGAAAAGTCTCATCTTAAAAAAAAAAAAAAAAAAAAACTTTTTTGATAAATTCATCTAGTTGACAAAATATGATAAAGAAGGAAAAGTGTATACGAAAAACACAATTTTCTTGCAAAGGACATTGATTCATGAAAAATAAAGATACATTTATATTATGACTGTCTTTATACAATGACAAGAGTGGTTACTGTACAAACACTCTTTCCGCACCTAAATAATATAGCACGCTGGGTTTTTCTATTGCTTTCCAAGAATATTTAGTGACCTATTAAGCACGATAGAAAGTCATTCATGATATTTGTTGGAAATGTTCCTGGATTTATTTTAAACCGTCCTGAAAGAATTGGATGGAATTCTTGAGTTTCATTTGCATACCAAGATACAAATTTAAATGAAAAATGTTTGTGAAAAATAATCTTTATGGCGGCTCTTTCTATTAAAAATACAAATATAGAAAAGTGGCTATCATTCTAAATGAAATTTAAAACAAGATTGAAGTATTTAATTCTGGTACTTGCATGCAAATTTATGAAAGATATTTTTTCCTATGGTAGCTGATTTTCGCCAATCTTTCCCCATTTTTATTACGGCGTAATAATGCCCTATTACAGCGTTATTACGCCGTATTACGGCATGATTACGCCCTAAGTTACAGTGTTATCATAGTTACGGCGTAATTACGCCCTAATTTACGGTGTAATTACACTCTAATTTACGGCGTTATTACGCCCTATTATACGTCCTAAGTTACAGTGTTATCATGCCCTGTAAGATACGGCGTAATTACCCCCTTTATTTACGGTGTAATTACACCCTATTATACGCCGTAATAAAGAAAAGAACACAAATTGTTGGCGGAAATCAGTCATTTAAATTTTCTTGTTTAGTTGATGTTGATTGCATAGTTATGTCAATTATATACACCTTAATGATCATCAAGTTCATGATCCATTTCATATATAAACAGGCCGAGAAAAGGAGTGGAGCAAACCGCGAATCCAAGAACGAGATGCTGAAAGCCAATCGTACCCTGTCTTACATCATCCTCTCCTTCATCATTGCCTGGTTACCAAACGCCATCATCTATCTCCTCTACTCAGTCAACCCGGCTCTCTTCGGAGCATTCCCGCGAGAAGTGCGCCGATTCTTCGTTTATCTGCTGATAGCGAACAGCTTCTGCAATCCCATTTGTTATGTCGTGTCACAACCGCTGTTTCGTCGTACCGTATTGGACCTTTTCATCAGGCCGCGGAAATACTGCCACCAATAACTGTCACTATGAACATGACTGACAAAGAAAGCGGACAAAATATACAGTTCCTCAGGTAGACAAAAGATTATCCCTTCACTGCTATCATGTAAAAATGTGTAGAACAGGTGTCACATGCATATTCACCTTTTTACATAATAGCAGTGAAGGGATGTTCCTTTGTCTACCTGAGGAACTGTATATTTTGTCCGTTTTCTTTGTCTGTCATGTTCATAGTGTGTACCCTCCGTGTTCATCGAAACTCATCATACAATTTAAAGCCGCTCTAAAGTGTCGGGAGCCAAACATTTGATAGCAGAATAGCGAAATGTAACTTTAATTGTATAATGTGAAATAGGATGTCATTTAAGACACACTTCTGCAAAGATTCCACCCGAACAATGTGTTTGAAGACAAATATTGGTAAAATAATACATAATTTGGGTTTTCTGTTGTACGCAGAAAACCTAAATGTTGTATTATTTCATCAATTTTCGACTTCAAACACATTTGTTTAGAAAATCCTTGCAGAAAGGTGTTTTGAATGACACCCTCTTTCACATTATGATACAATTCAAGTGAAATTTTGCCATCAAATTTTTGGGGCTCCCAAAACTTTAAAGGGGTTTTAAGAATTTCCCCCTCTCTTGTGGTTATCAACTGAATGTTATATCGATACAAATATGCACTTTATCTCAATATCAATGACGCTAGAACAAGATTATGAGGGAATCTTTTGCCCTACGTCTTTATTTAAAGTAGAAATAAACGGGTTAACTGTTCTCACTTTTTTTAAAAGTTTAAAATTCTTATGACAATGATATGTTCTTTTGGGGACAGTTTCGAGTGGGTTTCGATTTAGAGGTTCTGGGGGTCACACTGAAACCCTCCCCAAAATAATCATTTTCATGTAGCCCTTTTGAGGACTCCTCTTTTTTTTGCTAACGAGAGGATTTTAAACAGAAAACAGTGTTACCTCTCACATGGTTGTTTTCTTGTCTGTTTCTAAAGTACTAAATTTCTACAACATTATTTTATCTTCGGTTCAATATTGAGTGTCATTATAAATATGATAGAAATATATATTTCAAAATTATTGTTACACAGATTATTTCATACATGAAATATAACAGTTTCACATGTTTATACGTATGTTTATTTATGTGTAGACTAGTTGATATGAAGGTGATAGGACAAAAGTCGAGAGCTTAATAATCACTTTCAGAACAAAATTATACAAATAATACACAGCAGTGAGGGCATTAGTAAGAATTACCCACACAAGGTACCTTTGGAACAGTCGAACACGCCCGAGGCGATAGCCGAGGGTGTTTGGATTGTTTCGAAGGTACCGAGTGTGGGTAATTTTACTAATGCTCGAACAAAATTATGTGCATTATTGTCTTATAAGATGATGTTTTATAACATGATTTTACTAATGACCGGTCATAAGTATTTACGAATGACCAGTCATTAGTAAAATTACGCGTTAGGCAAAATAAATCCTGGTAAGGTGTACGCGTTCAACCAATCAGTAGATTAGGATCAGCTTCATCATCTTATAATAACTGTTAGTGGTCATAATTATAATAGGCTAAATCAGATACATTTTTTCACATTTTGTTTAATTCTTTTTCTTGAATTTATGGTGTTAGTCTATTCATATGTTGAAGTCCTATCAATTCACCAACAGTACTGTCTTTATTATCATGATCATGTTTATTTAGTTGACTTTACAAATTACTTTAAGTCGTTCAAAGTAATGAAAGAATAGACACTGCGGTTTAGCGCAAAAAGAGAGGGTGCAGTGACAATAAAAATTGTATTAGCTGCCTCTGCGGTTCTCTTGCTTAAAGTCACGTTTTATAACAACATTTCAAGGCTTATATTCATTTATGAGAGAGGGAACAACAAAAAGACTGAAAGACTGATTGCTTCTTAGATCAGGGAGAGGATTAAGGTAACTGAGATGTAGGATGCAGCGGTTTACAAACCCATTCCTTCCGTAATCAATCAAGGCATGTAAACAAACAAAACGCTATTTATCATCCAGGGTTTCTGCATTTCCAAAAAAAAATGAATATTAAGTTTCTGTACGCAATTTAATTTTGAATGAAAGAGTGAAAATGAATATCTAGTGGAAGTTATTATGCGGTGTGTGAATAAATGTAAACTACGCCATGACTTAACAAATGATGTATGTGATGTTTTATTTAAACAGCTTTTTAGGATAGTTCTTTTTGTTCACGGCAATAGACCTGTTCGACATCAATTTTGTACTGCATGTTTATTGAATTTGGTAATTAGCTCGTTTAGGCCTATCTATTCTTAATAATGAAATGAGTTACATGAACAATTTAAAATAATATTTAAGGAAATAATAAAAGAGTCAGTCATATTTATTTTGATTTTCTTAAATATCTCGTTTATCAGAGAATTTATTATTATGCGCTATATAAAAATTACTTTATTATTATTATTATTATTATTATTCCGATTTACTTTTATTCAGTTTAAAAGCTGAATTTGGCTATGTTTATAGTGGTAATATTCATTTATAAATATACATGAAGACAGCTAAATTATTTGATTTAAGGAGACTAAACGAGCCATAACCAAACCAAAATCCATATTATGTATGATCATTATTATGTCATCACCAAAATGTATCCATATTTTGTATCCTACTTATGTTCTTTGTAAACAATGTCTGATCGAGCCTATGTTTTTCATGTGAACAAATATCCCATGTTGAACTTAGATTCAATTCAATTCAAAACAAAAATGAATTGAATTGAATTGATAGAAATAAAGCTTGTGCACAACGCATGTAATAACAAATGGAACAATATGGAAAATGTATCATAATACAATTTACAAGCATTTTTAATCTTCATATTGCCCTTTCTACGAAATCCATTAGGCTACCTTATATAACTGCCATCATACATCCCTTCACGATTAAAGCCGCCATTTTAATTTGAGAATAAACATTGTGTCATCATTTGCTCATCTGACCGTGATTAAATACCTTAGAACCCCTGAGCTTCCAGGGGCTCTGCCCCCTGTTTTCACCTAGGGCCAAAAGTCAGGCACATGGATGCTCATCTGACGGTAATTTAATGCCTAAAACCCCTGAGCTTCTGGGGCCACCTGGACCTCACGCCAATTAGTGTCCTGCCATCAGTTATCACACAAAGCAAACATGTCATAGCAATTCATTTAAGTTAAGAAAATAAGGCAGTTTTGCGCCCATGGCATGCAATTTGCTGAATTTTGTATAAGATTGTGGAATTTCCAGGAGGAAAAAACAACTCGCAGACTTAAAATATGTTTTTATACCCTACGACAAATGAAAATGTGGAAAGGTGGAAAGGTGGAAACGACATAGGCTACCCCTCTTGCAAACAGGCATAATTATGTTCCTATAAAGAAGTTGATGAATTTACCATTTTCAAAGCAAAATATAGATCCTATCCTGCCTATCATACCCTTTTACACGGTTTTGATTGGCCAGAACCGTACAAGATCAATATGCTGAATAAATCATGTATTTTCAATGATTTACCAACACAGAGGAAAAAAGATGGGAAGAGAGAAAAACAGAGAGCGACAGAGATAGCGAGAGAGAAGAAGGGAGATAGAGAGAGAAAAAAAGAAAGAAAGAGAGCGACAGGGAGAGAAAGAGAGACAAGAGAGAGAGAGAGAGAGAGAGGGGGGGGGGGGGAGAGAGAGAGAGAGAGGGGGGGGGGGAGAGAGAGAGAGAGAGAGAGAGAGAGAGGACGATACAATGAATTAACCAAAATTCACGAGGGTTTTGATTCTGAATATGAATTAAAATATAGAACGATCCTCGATTGAACGCTTGTCTGTGTGGGTCTATATACTTCCTGACCTATTATTCAAGTGTTTTAAAGAAAGAAAGAAAAAACTAGGAAAAGAAGCAACGGTTCAAGAAAAGGGTACGTATATACTGTCCTCAGTTGTAAGGAATTGATAGGCCTATACAGGCGCGTACGCAGGGAGGGGGGGGGGTGGAGGTTACCCCCACCCCCTTTAACTTTTTTTATGTGTGTGTTTTGGATGAAACCCCCTCCCCCTTCTGTTTTTTAATAAAATAATTTTAAAAAAAATTGTGGTAATGGGTGACCCCAAAAAGCTGACATTACCCCCCTCCCCCCAACGATACGAAATATCGATCAGTCAAATTTTAGGACAAAAAAAAATGTGCTCTTACCCAAAATATCCATTCACAGTTCACAGATAATAAAGATACCTTTATAAACACAAGCACAATGGTTATACATTTTAAAGAAAATGGCAATATTGGTATTTTCCCCAAAACTGCGGTCACAAATCGCCAAAAATGTCCCTTGTAACATCTTATACGACGACATTACAATTATAAATATATATAGAATGATTGAGTGATATTAAGTTTGTATGCCATGTATATTTGTTCATACAATGCAGGCGCGGATCCAGGATTTTCAAATAGGGGGGGGGCCGGAAATTTGAAAATTGTGCAGACAGTTTTTCAACTCAACATACCAATACTGACAAGGTCATATAAGAAGCACCATACCGGTAATTTTTTTGACATTTTCATCGGGGGGGGGGGGGGGGGCTGAAGCCTCTTGCCCGAAAATGTAATTTTCTGGTTTCACAATTCGGCTAGTGAGCGAAGCGAGCGAGCAAAAATTTGAAGATAATATGTATTTTGTGAAAGTGTTATTTATCACCAAAATATACGAGAAAAGATATAACAAATTCATATTCGGGCAGCTCGCTGTCCCCTCCCCCCCCCCCCCATTACGCGCGAAGCGCAGAAGCTTTAATGTTCATGAAATTATTAGAGAAAGAAGAGGATTCGTTATACCGTTCTCGGTTGTTAATCATTGTCTGAATTCAGTTTCCAAACCCCCTCCCGCGCGAAGCGCGGAAGCTTTGACGTTTCATTAAATTATTAGAGATAGAAGACGATTCGTTGAACCGTTCTCGATTCTTAATCATTGTCTGAA